CTGGGGCAGTGCCGAAATGGAGGTCACAGGGCTCAAAGGTCAATGGGCACAGGGCAGATTTTAGACATTTTCCTGAGGACATGGGTCTGACGCGAGACGATTGACAAAAGCCCTCCATTTATTGTTTCAGCCGGCTGACCTAGCATTTCTATGGCTTTATTGAAAGGGAGCCATGAAATGTGCTTCCACGCTGCGTGCGAAGAGTTAAGTGTCTGATAACCTTTTGGACGCGCTTCAAGAGCGAGGGTTAAACATGATTTGTTGACTGTTAACAAGGAGTGAATCTGCTTTTGCTTTAAAAAATAGAGCCCCACCCTCCCCTCCCCCCCTCATCCCCTCCCGGCCCGTTCTCCCACCCCTCCCCCATCCCACCTCCCACCCTACCCTGCCCGCCGGCCTCCCCTACCCCGCATCTGCGATAGTGGCATGTCCTAACCAATGATGTGTACGGCAACTGCGTGTCTGCATATCTGCCGCTCTAACAAATGTGGTACTATTTACCGCACAACTGAAATATTTTAACTTTATAACGCTAGCAACACACCTCAGATTGAGGCCAGACGCACTGCGCGCTCTTGTTTACATTCTGGCCGGATTCTTGTCGCGCGAAAAATACCCCTTTACCGGAGATTTTGGATGCCATGCGCGTTCCCTTCCGACCCGGCAGTGGGTGGCCCGCCGGGGAGAGATGGGTCAATTGGCCATTGCCATCCAAAAAACCTGACTTTTACAGAATTCAGGAAACGAGAATATAACACAGATGTGGCCTGTAACTTGTGAACGTCAAAGACGCTCGGAGTGTTAATCATGGCTATGCAATGGTATCGCAAGACAGACTTCAAGTCGGGGCACGGAGGAAGTACGTGACTGCCAGAGGCATATAGCTCTCCAACAGCATAAGTTGCCTATCGGGTGGGCAGTGCGAATCTAACCCCAATATATCGAAGCTTCTTTGCAGCAGAGAGAGAATGTCTGTCTGACGCAGAAGTGAGATTGACGGATTGAACAGCAAATGTGCCTTTGAGGGCGGCCAGACAGTGGCAAATTGAACTCTTCTAGCAAAATGGTTCAGACTCAGCAAATACCAAAAAGTATGCGTGTGCAACATACAAAAACAACGCAGAAATTGTGAGAAATGCAATTCTCTACCTGTGTTGTAATACAAGGTATTATTACTATAGTAACCTAAATGTTGTACGCTCATCGTGAAAAGTCAAGAAAGTGTCTTGAATCCTAACTTGTAGGGTCGAGTCTAGGGTTGCAGATAGTGTCATCTAGACATAGAATATGGTCCCGGTATGCCTTCAGATTGCAATAAAATGGCCTTAAATATTTCAACAATTGTTCTGGGGGGGGGGGGCATGCCCCAGACCCCCTAGCACTTGCATGCCTTACGGCACGCGGGCCTGCCTGCGGCAGCCAAGGTTAATTTTGCCCCCCCCCTCCGGCCATCGAATTTCATCCGCATTTGGAGTTCACAGGGTGGAGACCCTGGTGTGAGCTACTACTACTACTTGTACTGGCCCAAGGATAGAGAACTAGTAGCTAGTAGTCAGCTACTAGTGTAGTAGTAGTTAATAGTCTCTAGTAGTAGTAGGACTAGAATATCAATATATTACAACATTACACTACTAACCGTAGACCAATAAATTGTGCCCTAGACCCTATACCCTAAGTCATAAATCATACCGTATAACCTTAGGCTATTCACGAAGTGTGTATAGGGTTAGGGTAGGTGTTTTTGCATACATTCCTTGATATACGGAAAGTCTGTGCATCAGTTGATGATACACAAAAATCTGTGCATCACTTCGTGATACCTAAGGTGCCTAAATGTGGATTGCCACCAAATTTTTAGTGGCACAATTTATTGGTCTAATACTACCGCAGTGCGCCAGTGGCTGGAGAAACGCCCACACAGGCATTGAAGCCGTTTCAATAAAAATATATAATTAGCCTAAATAAATACGAAATCTATTTACTACCCAAGTACTGAATGTTTCTATAACTCTCTTACCGATTATTGCGACAAATTCTCCTGTAAATGCCGTCCAGATGCTCATCTACAACAACACCTGGCCTCCGCCAAGCGCTCATTGTTGCCGCTGCAGTGCGGACCTGACACTTATATATATAATCTACCATCACACTATCTGACCGCGAGGCGCCGATTGGGAGGCCTACGTCTGGATCCGGGAGGCTTAAGTTTGGCTCGGGAGTCATTTTGTGCCCGCGATTCGGAATTTGGGAATCGGGAGCGTAGGTGTGCGAGGGCTTCACGACGCGACATGGATAGTGTGCGTGGCTATCCGACGCTCGGGCGAGCGCTGAAGAAAATTGACCAACTCACCAGAGCCCGCCATTGAACCGCATTCGGTAAAAATTGGCTGGAGAAAACCACTCCTGACCTTTAGTACACGCTAATCCGATTGAACGCCAACGAGAGTGCCATGGTTGCCGCCACTTGAGTCGGACAGTGTGCGGGAGCCTCGCCGATCGATTCCCCCGGACGGGCGGGTCGTATAGCGTGCGGGGGCTTAGTGCTGCTGGCACAGCGCCAAAATTCGGTAGTGTGCCTGGCTAGCAATAAGTGTCAGTGTTGCAGCACTGCCAGCGCAGCTAGATGGCGCTTGGCGGCAGCCAGTGTTTGTTGTAGTTGAGGCGATTTGCGGCATTTACCAGCCGAAATTTGTGCGGCAATACGGATAAATAAGGCTGAATAGAGAGCATCAATAGAAACATTTAGACTTTGTAGTGAAACTAGCATTTCGTATTTATTAGTTCATCTGACGTAGTCAAGCATGGCAAGCTTTGTAGAAATCGCATGATTGTGCGCTCGCCGTTCCGTTGCGTGCGTTCGTCGTCGTGCGTCGCGTCAACAGTGGGGGCACAAATCTTAACCGCTCGACGCTACGGTGACTGATATTCGGGACGTGGGGGCGGGGGATCGTGAAAAGGACTCAGGATGATTACAAATTTGGGGGTCAAGGGTCAAAGGTCAAGATGTGTAAACGGAGGGGGAATATTTCCCCCTTAACTTAAGGTATAGGAGGAAATACGGAAGTGCGGCCCAAATCTGAACGGCTCGACCTATATGCTCTTAATATTCGGTGTATAGTGTGATGGGCAAGAAACCCATCACCAGTGCGAAATTGGAGGTCACAGGTCAAAGGGCAGTGGGGGAAATGTCAGATATCAGACATTTTCTGAGGACATGGCCCAGTGGAAAAAATACACGGAGGCGGCGGGCGATTTCGCCCCCGAAAACATGATATCGGGGGCGACCCCCAAAAGAGAAAGTCGCCCTGGAAATCGATTGTCCAGGTCGGTCCCGCTCCTTGCCGCTCTCGCTTGGCGTTGCTGCACTGCGATGCCTAGGCCTCTGCCGCTAGCGGCAGCCGGTTCCACGGCCCGGTACAATTCATGGTACGGTGTGACTGTCAAGTGTTTACCATTTAAGCATGCATGTGTGTACTGTACTGTATTGCATTCAATCAAGCGCGCGCCGCCGCCCGCGCGTATATATACGTGTGTTCCTGTGCGCGTGCTTGCGTGTGTGCCTGCGCGCGTGCTTGCGTGCGTGCCTGTGTGTGCCGGTGTGCCTGCGCGCGTGCGTGCGTGCGTGCGTGCGTGCGTGCGTGCGTGCGTGCCTGTGTGTGCCGGTGTGCCTGCGGGCGTGCTTGCGTGTGTGCCAGAAATAGTGTACTTATTATAATTCAATTTATTTTGTCTCAAAGTTTATTGAAAACTAAGCTACATATTGATGCAGTACAATTCCACGTGTGTGCCATCTAGGAGCAAAATAGTTTAGTGCTTTTGTTCCAATAACTTTGGTTGCTTGTTATTGCAGGTCACTTGCAAGGTCGAGAGCGGTCCTTCAGTGTATGGTATACCTTTTTATTAATGTATTCACGTTCACTAGATCATTGCTACCTTTTGCTATATATACATCAATGCATAACGATGATATCTAGCTCATCTGATACAGTTCTGCCAATCATATTGACATTCATGTATAAAAGGGACAAAAGACAGTTAATGTTTTATAAAGACAGTTTCGTTCATTAACATCATGAGGGCGCAATACTATTAGTTGCCGTATGTCTTTCAGTAGGCTATGCATTCAAGATCTGTTAACATGATTTCAAATTGCAGATAGGTATCTTTTTCATCACACCACATTGCAAAAAATGTGCAATTTTCAAACAGACATATATTTCAGGGTATGTCAACTGGAAGCAATGAGGAGGTCATACTACAAACTGTGAAAGATAAGGGAGTGATCACCTTGAACCGGCCAAAGCAGCTCAATACATTAAATCTATCCATGGTCAGGAAGATTTATCCAATGCTGAAGGTAACTGCAGCTCAGTGATTGCATTTGTACACTATTTACTGTACTAATCGATCATAGGGATAAAGTATTTCCACATCAGTTTTGATTATACACCAGCACTGCAGTGGCGTAGTTATCCTACTTTTGCATGCTACCCATGTAGCCCGGTAGCTGGCGCTCGCGCTCGCCGTTCACGTGCCCTCTCCATCTTTGTTTTGCTGTTTGGCTTCTATGCCCGTTGTGCTGTTATAAAGCTGGTCTGTTCCACTGAGTAGTTGTTTGTGTGTGTGTAATCGTATCCGGACAACTACCCACTGGACAATTACCCACCGGACAATTACCCCTCGGACAATTACCCACCAGGACAATTACCCACCCGGACGATTACCCACCCGGACAATTACCCACCCGGACAATTACCCACCAGGACAATTACCCACCCGGACGATTACCCACCAGGACAATTACCCACCCGAACGATTACCCACCAGGATA